AATAAAGCCCCCCCCCCACTCTTTTTAAGGAGAATTTAATCAGGCTTTGCAAGGAAAGAAGTAAGGTGCAAAAGTCTACATGATATGGGGCCTCAGGGAGCAGGTTATCGCATGGGAAATTTTCGTGATAAAGAAAGGCCTGATAAAGGTTATAATGGGTGCCGTGGAGAGGAAACTGTTGACCACAGTGGTTTGGCATCCAAGTACTTGGTATTAGGTGACTGAACAAGTTGATTTCTGGAGGTTTTCCCCTGCAGTATACCCCTTGATTCAAATAGCCTAACTGGGGAAAAAAAAAACTGAAAAAAAATAGACACTGCTTTCTTGGGAATTAAATGTATCCAGAATAACATTTCTTCCAGCTTAATGATAACTCTTGTTGGCCTATCATCAGTGGATTCCTTGTCTTTTTCTTCATTTTGTTATATTGTGAGCCTCCAGGGGCCGTGAGCATTTTTGAGACACCAGTGAGATCTCACTCTTCAGACAGAATGTCAGACTCTTCAACTGTATTTTCAACTGTCTTGTGAGACAAAGACTAATTGGTTTGACCTCATGCTGTCGCATGTTGAGAGACATGAATCTTCAGCACTCTTCCTTGAATTCATTGATTTCATTAAACACTGTCTGCTTGTGTTTGCAAAATGTCGTAATTTCCCAGTGATTTCTTCGAACTGCAGCGCGTAAACAGATTTTTTGGAACAATGCCACTTCTTCGCTTTGATCTTGTGTGTTAATCTTTATTTCCAACAGGTCTTCTACATTAAGTCCATCGAGCCACGGAAAATATCGACTTTAGGGAAAAGTAACGTGATCGTCACGGGAGCAAACTTTAGCCAGGCATCCAACATTACAATGATCCTGAAAGGAACCAGTACTTGTGATAAGGACGTGTGAGTTGAAATCATAGTAATTTATCCTTGGTAATATAGTAAAAAGCTTTCACTTATGCCAAAAGAGTATCATTGTGATTATAATCTTTTCAAAGTATTGCCACGTGCCAAAGTGGGCAGTTCATCTACATATTTGTTATCACATAATTTTAATAAGTAGAATAATTTAAACACCACTTCGGAAGCTAACTGTGAGAAAATCTGTCCCCTCTAAGCCCCCAAAGCCTCAGAACCCACTAATTTCAGGATGTTGCCTCTTTGAGGTCTTGATTCATTTCCATTACCAGAATCAAGTATTTTGAGTAACAGACATCATCTTGAAGCTGATGCACTTAGAAAAATAGTTGCATACTTAGGAATCTGATGGAAAACTATGACAGCTCTTCCAATGTATTACCCAAAGCTGAAAAAAGAAACGTTCTGGCATGTTCTATTATTCCTTGTAGCCTTCTCTTTACTGGATTGGTCTCAGGCTCAACTAATAACTAAATGGAACATATATTAGTAGTTTTAAAAAAAAAAAGACCAAACACCCCAACACAGATATCTGGTCAGTGTACCATTTGACCATCATTATTTCTATGACTTCTTTCCCCCTAACTTGTCCTTTCAACGAAACCTGGAGAGAGAAAAAAAAATTTCCGTGTCTCACTGACACCCTTGTGCAAATCTTATCCCCAAAAGAGATGTAATAATAATAACACAACAGATAATTTGGGTTTCCTGCTTGCTAGCTTTTGTAAGTTTGGGTTGATTTGAAGTTAGAAGACATTGCAGTTTATATGAAGTAGAATACTGGGCTCATTCTCATCATGGGAATGCATCAAAGACAATCTGCTGAAGCATGGTGTTTTGGGTTTTAACTACTAAAACAGATTTGCACAGCATTTTAATCTGCCACACTTATTTACTGAATTTTCTGTTTTAATTCATTTGCTGCATATAACTGCCATCCTCTTCCCCTCCTAACAGTAAATTTAGGATGTTTGTCATCTTGATGGAGAAAGCTGTTCATTGGTAGCTCCACTATGTTTTGCCATTTACCAGAATTATCAAGCACACATTAGCGGCTGTATCTATGCGGCATAGGTGTTTTGGTACCGTTGATCCTGGCTAAATACCTTCCTGCGCAAATCTTTCATTTTGTGTTGAAATCTGTGAAGTTAGACACCTGTGTGTTCACTGAAAGGCAATCACCTTCACTGGCAAATAAGCCGGTTTTCAGAGCGTTTCCCTATTTTTGACTCTTTATGCTCTCATTTCAATTCCGAATGTGTCTTGAGATACTGCAGTTATTCAATTAAACGACTCAGAGACCTTTCTGCATGTAGCATTTCAGTAACCACATCAGAGTGGTGAACCCAAGTTCACAAGCAGTAAACATAATACCCAGTTAATCCTATATCTGAGTTCATGCCGTAATCCCACACTCCTTTAATATGGTATTTTTCAAATGCCTAATTATTCTGAAGGGAAAAATACGAGGATAATAGTGGAATGACCCCCATTTCCACCTCTCTCCTTCCAAAATTTATAAACAAGTTTGAATTTTAACGATTAGCCATTTTACGATGAATTTCCTAGAGCTTTGCTCTGAATGTAAAGCTTAGGATGTAAATCTGACATAGTGTAAATGCACACTGACTCAGATGCTTTTTGAATTCGCCTTATGTTAGGATCTATTATTACTACTTAAAGGATATGTGCATTAACGTTAATAATCATGTGCATATCCTATAAGTAGTAACAGTAGATTCGCACGTAGCATAATCATGCTGAGAATTATTCAGCACAACCCAGTCTTAGTGATCTTTTGCTTTAGAGGGTCATTGTAGACATGATGTACTGAGGAAGTGCAGGTTACAGAGGGAATGTTGTAGAAGGCTCTGCTTTGACTCCCGAGGGGCATCAAGGGCATGCCCTGTGGATGTCAGGAGCACCCAGGATATTCCCAACTAATTTCTCGTCTAGACCTCCTTGGGAGGCAGCTCGGCTCTGGTGCTGATTGACCCTGAGATCCCTGCGCTCTTGGCATGGACTTTGGTCATGGGCACTCTGTTCTTAGAATGGCAGAATCCCTGTCTCTGCCTGGGGCGGAGTTCTCCCCTTCTACCGTCTAACTGGGACTTCTTTTTTCTTACGCTTTTCCTTGTGGAAATTTCCAAGCATACCCAAGAGACAAGAGCGCGGTGAACCTCTCCGGACCCATCCTCCAGCTTCCAAACTTGCCAACACCTTGCCAGTCTGGTTTCATTTTTGGAGAGGAGGGGAGCATGGGTAGCTGGAGGTTTTAAAAGCACCTCCCAGACACCATATCCCTTGACACATACCTACTTCAGTATATGTCTCTCACAGATAAGGACCGTACCATTCTCAAACCCAACAACGTTAACAGGAAACCCTGCACAGTCCATGTTCCACTGATAGGACTTCTTAAGGGAACTGGTTACATCTCCTTTCCCCACTTCTAAGGGACATTTGCAAATAAAAACATACAAATGAAAAAAGAAAGAGGAACCCTGCCCCAGATGATCCCCACCGTGGTAAGTGGCCCCTGATGAACCCGCACTTACGTGCGGCTGTTCTGATAGTTTGTGAACTGTTGCGGTTCAAGTAAAATTCGTACGCCGTCATGTTCGGCACACAACTGTGCTCCGTGTCTGTGTCACTTAAGAGTTGTTTTTCTGCCCCTTTCTAGAATACAGGTCAGCCACGTGCTAAATGACACCCATATGAAATTCTCTCTACCGTCAAGCCGAAAAGAAATGAAGGATGTGTGTATCCAATTCGACGGCGGGAACTGTACATCTGTGGGACCCTTGTCATATATTGCTCTGCCTCACTGCTCCCTCATATATCCTGCCACCACCTGGATCAGGTGCTTTCTAGACTCCTGTCTTTCTGTCAGTGTGTTTAAAGGGGCCATGTGCGTAAAGATCATGGGTTTTCCACAAATAAATACAGAAATAATAGTCCTATCTAAATTCCTCTCCCGGAATTCCCCTTAGGATTTATTCCTAGAAACCAAACATATTCCTGACCAGCAGATTGCTTCCTACTGTCACCGTGAATACTGGGAGCAAGTCCTGCTTTACTCTGAGCTGTGGCTGCCAGGAAACTCACGGCTAAAACGTTTGCTCGCACTCTGGTTTCTCTTCAGGTTGTATGATCTTTTGCCCTTCACAATGGTCTTTGAATTGTGGTATCCATTCTTAGCCTACCTTCCTGATACAAAGGTACCACGCCTCGCTCCTGCCCATGACACTGAGCTTCTGTCTTCCATCTTTCATTTCATAATGGTTTGGGTACACTGTTTTGAATTATTTGAGGAGATATCGGGAGCTATCGAAATGAAAAGCAGTACCTACATTTCGAAGATACTCCCTAAGAGAGATTGACATTCTAAAATAAACTCTTCCAGATGACTCCTATATATTAAAAACGTAAAATAAAAACAGTCCTCTGCCTCGTTGAATTTTAAATTCACGTTCAGATTTGGAATACGACCCTGACGATAGTTTTCATAATAAGATATTTCACCAACACAGCATGAAACTAGTTTTCAAAGTACTGTTGAGATGAAACTATACATAAACTTTTTTTTTTTTTTTTTAAAGAAAGAAAAAGCGCAGGAGAAAAACACTTCTCGTATAGTATTGTTACTTAAGATTAAGTCAGAAGTGGATGTCAGGGTTGGTTTCTTCTGAGGCCTGTTCTCTTGGCTTGTGGAGACATGGTCACCTCCTTGTACCGTCACATGGTTTTCCCTCTGTGACTGTCTGTGTCCTAATCTCTTTTTATAAGGTCACCAGTCAGATTATTGGATTAGGGCCCACCCCCGTGATCTCATTTGATCTTAATTACCTCTCGAAAGAACCTATCTCCACATGCGGCCCCATTCCAAGGGACTAGGGGGTCAGGACGTCAACACTTGTGCCTCTGACCGTGGCACGAGAAAGATGGAAATTCCCCAACCAAGCCTCTAGCATTGCACTCCCTGCTCTGGGTCTAAATCCTTCCTATCAGTCAAAGCGAGCCTTGAGGTGACAGTCCCCACGTGCCTCGTGTGGTGTATCTAGTAGTTCAGTTAATCCTCACCGAAGGAATAGCCCCTTTAGCAGATGGGGGAACCAAGCATAGAGCATTCAAACAACCTGCCTGGGCTCCCAGGCCGTCTGGGTCCAGGCTGCAGTGCTCTGAACCACCAGTGTTCTGCTTTGCCATAAAATCAGGCTTCCTAATTATTTTTTAATTGAGGTATAGTCGACATAGAACAGTAGCTTCAGATGCAAACGTAGTGATTGTGTGAGGCTTCTTAATGTCCAGTCACCTGTGATATTCTGTGCCTGCGTCTCTGAGGTCTGCCTGGCCAAGAATGTGGCTCGGCAGTCTGGCCATTGGCAGAGCACGTTTTCTAGTAATGACGACAGGCTGGCATGAGGCCAGCTCGACCCTTCCCCTCACCGCCTTGTGACTGGAGGTTCAGGGCTTAATGTCTTCCTTCTGCCCTACACAAATTGGCCTGCCCAGGCTCACCTCCCAGTCTTGTCATCCTGGGCCCGGCTGGCGAACAGAGCTGACCTTCCCAGGCTCCTGTCCCCTGGAATGACCTACATGAATGGGGGTGTGAGGGCAGCCGGAGCTGGGGACAGCTGTTTATTTCACATCTAATGACCACTTTGCTTATATGTGATTATGTGCTGAGAATATGTGAAATCATTTGGCTTGGTTTTGGAGAGAGGGAACGTAGCTGTTATTTATATGGTCTACCAAATGGGAATTTATAGTTTTAATGTCATTTATAATTTTACCTTGTCCAAAATGTTCCCTATCTCCCTAAATAAAGTATAATTGGTAGGTTGGGAGTTTGATTTTGAAAATTGTTAGATTGAAGGATCTTAATATAGATTAAACAGCAATCAAACAAAATTCTGTTTAGTGAAACCTTTTCAAGGTACAGCCGATGATCTGATTAGATGTGGCAACATGATATAATAAGACTCAAAATTCTGTTAAAGAATTTGGGCATTTTCCTAGAATTAAAACCAGATCTGACCTGAATTTTTATATTTATGTATCTTGAAAACTACGCATTTGTGGTCAGTGTCATTAAAAGATGTCTATAATCGTCCTGCATTTGAAATTAAAATGTATTACTTGGCTCTAAATATAACTGGGTTTAATGTGTGAATAAAATGATAGATTTACTCATAAATGCAAAATTCCTGTATGTTTACTATGAAACTCCTATTGTTGCTTTTTTCTTTGCAGTGGTGGTCAAAATATAACCATCCTGGGCAGAAATTTTGACGTAATTGACAACTTAATCATTTCACATGAGTTAAAAGGAAACATAAATGTAAGTCTTCAGCTACCTTGTAATAATAGTAATTTTCAGGGATGATTTTGTTTTCATCACACTAACATCTACTGGGAAATATCTTTTATTTCTGTGCCTTTGTGATATTACAAGCTTTTTCCTGTTGGATGGTATACACCATCTGGGCCATAATGGAAATAATAAGACCCTCTCCTTGTGGTTGAGTATTTCCAGTTGTGGCACAGAGGAGAGAGGAATGAGCCTGGGACGACAAGGCCTTCCATTTCCTCCACGTGGGCTTTGCAGGGAGGCACTTTAACACGACCACGTTTAGGACTATGTGTGACCATGCCTTGTGAGGGGTGAGGGCGAGATATCTAGAAGAATAGCATTTTTGTGCAGACGTGGTGGCGGGGTTCCCATCGTACTGAGAAAGCTGTGGTTCGGAGGCCAAGTGACCCGCGTGAGCCCCCAGAAATCTTGTCATGTACTCCTGCTCCTGCCATGGTCTGGTTTGGTCCCGTTCCTTCCGACCTCGCCTCCTCTGACTTTGCATTTCCCCACACAGGGGGTCTGGTCTCTGGCCCTTGTCCAGTTCTCACACCGCCACAAGTCACACACGGGCCTCATCACACAAAATGATAGATTTCTCAGATCTAGGTTGGGGCCTCTGAGTGTACTTCTAATTTACTTCTCAGATGCTCTCCCCACTCTCTCTCCCCCTTTCTCTCCTTCCTTAATGAGACATGTGAAGGTAGCAGCCTCTCCTGCCTGACCACTTCCTGCCACAGCTGGAAGGTCTGCCCACGGCCACAGACCTGGCCCTGTTTGCGACCAGTATGGGTTCAGGCCTAGGTGCAGATGGCCTTCCCGAGTCCTCCTTACGTACCTGTCATACACGCATCCACATCCTGACATAGCCAGAGCCAGTTCCGGGCCTTGCCTCGTATCTGATTCCGGGCCACGTCTCCGTGATGTGGACACACGCACCATTTTTTGTTTCATAATATTGCCAGAAGTGTGAACAACAGATCTAGGGCTGGAATTTGGAGAGGGGTTCAAGGGGAAGGGGGTTTTGTTTGTCCAGATCTTTGCATCAGATCTTCCCACCTATGGCCTCGTCCTACCCTCTCTTTTCTCTTTTTTTTATTTTTTTATTTTTTTTTTTTCAACGTTTATTTATTTTTCGGACAGAGAGAGACAGAGCATGAACGGGGGAGGGGCAGAGAGAGAGGGAGACACAGAATCGGAAACAGGCTCCAGGCTCCGAGCCATCAGCCCAGAGCCCGACGCGGGGCTCGAACTCACGGACCGCAAGATCGTGACCTGGCTGAAGTCGGACGCTTAACCGACTGCGCCACCCAGGCGCCCCCTACCCTCTCTTTTCAACTGCAATATTAGAAAGTAAATAACAAACAGGAAAGCTCACCACCTAGCAAATTTTTTTTCACAAGTTTGATTGCCCCCTTTTTTTAAGATTTGATTTTTAAGTCCTCTCTACACCTAACGTGGGGTCGAACTCACAACCCTGAGATCAGGAGTTGCATGATTCATGGACTGAGCCAGCCAAGCGGCTTTTATTGCTCTTCCTTATTTATTTTTTTTTTTTATTAATGTTTACTTATTTATTTTGAGAGAGAGAGAGAATGTGAACTGGGGGAGGGGGCAGAGAGAGAGGGAGAGAGAGAATCCCAAGCAGGCTCTGCACTGTCAGCACAGAGCCCGACGCAGGGCTCGAACCCATGACCCAAGAGACCATGACCTGAGCTGAAATAAAGAGTTGGATGCTCCACTGACTGAACCAACCAGGCGCCCCATATTATTGTTCTTCTTTAAAACCTTTACCAATCTCTTTTCCAGCAACTTTCTCTGCCCGTCTCTCTGCACACCTAAAAATGACCATATTTATGTTTTGTATAAATAAACCTGTAAAGCAGGCCACACTTTCTGCGTTGTTTCCAGTCTTCATGCTCTGCATTTTCATGGGGGGGGGTCACGTTGTCCCTTTTGCTTTTGTTTTCCCCTACTTCTCGTTAGATCTGCAAAGCCTTTGCCTCCTTGCGGCCAGTGATTTCTGCTAAGTGTCGCTGAAGGCTCCTCCACAAGGAGCGATGCAGTCGGTAGTGTACCTGGCCTCACTGGAGGACGGTCCCCTCCCTGCCCACATTTCACAACACGCCCTGAGGGCTCGCAGTGCGCACAGACCCTTGGTGCAAAGTCTTCCTCTTTCTCTAGCCTCCTTCTTCCTGTGCACCCTTTTTCCATTGCATAACCTCCTGGCTGCTTTCATTATCACTAGTAATGTCCACAGTGATAGGAGCTAGCATTCGTTGAGTACCTACTGTGTGCCAGGCACTATTCTAAGCATGTTTGCACATGTAATCTCCTTTAATTTAACCCCCATTTCGTTTAACAGGCCCTCATCTCATTTGATTTGATTTTGGGTTAATTCAGCCCTGTGAAGGGGGGGAGGTGGTATCATCCATTTCATAGATGAGACATTGGAAGCACAAAGCCATTCAGTTGTCTGGGTCGCCTCTCTCCTAAATCCTAGGGCTAGGACTCAGTGACAAAGTTGTTAAACTGCTCTTTTCTCCTCCTTCAGGTCTCCGAATATTGTATGGCGACTTCCTGCAGGTTTTCAGCCCCCAGCTTCAAGGGTTCGAAAGTGCGGGCCAACGTCACCGTGAAGCTGAGAGTCCAGGAGACCTACTTGGACTGTGGGAGCTTGCAGTATCTTGAGGACCCCAGGTTCACAGGGTGTCGGGTCGAACCCGAGGGGGACACAGAATTGGAAGTGAAAATTCAAGTATGTTTCTCACTTATCTCGGGTGGGATGTGCCCCCTGCCCTTTGCGACTGGCAAGGTGTGCTCGTGTCTGTGGGTTCCCTCGTGCGCCCTGATTTCTCCATCTCCTCTTTGCTCTTCACAGAAAGAAAATGATGACTTCAACATCTCCAAGACAGACATTGAAATCACCCTCTTCCATGGGGAAAATAAGCAATTAAATTGCAGTTTCGAAAATATTACTAGAAATCAAGATCTCACCATCATCCTTTGCAAAATTAAAGGCATCACGAATGCAAACAGCATTGACACCTCTTCCAAGAAAGTCCGTGTGAGTCATCTGCCAGCCCTACCTATTGGTCTTACCTCAGTTGGGGCAGTTCCTTGGCTAGACAGAAGCCAGAGTGGAATCTGCCGTGGATCTTTAGATCTTCACTTTAAATAGCAGATAAACAAAGCTTGTATTGCGAGCACAAACATAATTCCTACAAAATAGCTGGCAGAATCCATCCATGTGCCTATTGGAATGTCAAAGCATTGAACAACCATTGTCTATAATACTAATGAGTCTTGATAGCTTTTGTTCTAGCCATGCATTTGGACTGTAGCATCTGCAGGCAGAATCTCTAGACCACTGACGAATGAGCTGTCATTCTTTCCCCAAATGTGGCAGTGACATGTCTTAGCAGATTCCCAGCATACTCAAAGCAGCATTAGATTCTGATGGAGACCAGATAATCTATGTGTCGTGGGCCACTTCCTCCACCACAAAGGCACACTTGCAATTCATCTCTCCCCGACATGTTTGAGGGTCCCATCACGGTTATATTTATGTCCCACAATAAAGATGTGAGACCCTTGGGAGAGGAAACATATTATAAGTCTGTCTTTATGGTGTTCATGCCATATGAGGCTCTTCACAGTCTATACCAAAAAAAAAAAAAAATGCTTTATGACCTGTAGTCATAAATATTGAATAAAGGTCAAGGAAAAAGAACATCAGACTGGAAGCCAAAAAAAAAAAAAAAAAAAAAAAAAAAAAAAAAAAAAAAAAAAAAAAAGATGTGTTCATGTTCCAGCTGCACCGGCTAATAGCTGTGTGGCCTTGGGTAGGTCACTTGGCTTTGCTGAGCCTCCCTTTGTCCATGTGTATGGTAAAGAGGGTAGTAATTATTATAAATCAAGAGCACCAACTGAGATTACAAGTGCTCCCACATGTCACATTGGTTGAGAAGAACGGTGCTAGTATTCTTTGTTGATGAGATGGTTCCAGAGTGCCTATACTGAGATGGGGACACAGCAGAGAAGAAAACAGACCCCAAAATTCTGTCTTTGTGGACATTACCTGAAGAGTCATGTAGTGAAGGAAATAATTTAAAAATGTGTCAGGTGGTGGTGATCACCATTGGGAAAAATGAAGCAGCGGGCAGTGATGCAAGTTTTACAATGGTGGGCAGAGAAGGTCTCTCTGGAAAGATAACATTTGAGTAAGGACCTCAAGGAGGAGAGAGAATGAGCCATGGGTTCTCTGGGGTGTGAAAGGTTCTAGATAGATGTAACTGCAAGCTGCAAAGGTCTTGAGTCTGGAGTCTGCCTGGTGCATTTGAGAAACTACGAGGAGGCCAGTGTGGCTAGAGCAGACTGAGCAAGGGGAATATTCCAGAAGGCTGGAGAGTTAATGGAGGGAGCAGGAAGAGGTAAAAGATGATTAGGACCTTGTGGGCCATAGCAAGGGCTTGGTCTTGAGCTCTGGGAAGCCACTGGAGAGTTTTGAGCAGGACTGCCGTGAGCCTACTTAAATGATAAAGTGCATTTAGTCTTCGTGACAAACTTACGAAGAGACAACCCTACATCTCATTTTAAAGATGAGGAAAGTAAGGATCGGATGGTTAAGTTAAACTCCTATGGCAAAGAGGACTAAATTCTAAAATCTCCAGGTGTAGTCCAGTGTACCTCAACTGACATATCTGGAAACTGAGGCACAGTGAATGTTCTCAATGTGCTCAAGATCACATAGCTAATCTGCCCGAGGTGGGACTTGAATTCATATATCCTACCTAGCTCGTCACCTCTTTTTGCATCTTGGGGAAAATGATTTGGAGGAAAAAGGGTGTATATAAATATGGCACCCAACTCAACTGAGTCTAATGACACTCTGTCTCATCAGGTCAAACTGGGAAACTTAGAGCTCTATGTTGAGCAGGAAACAGTTCCCACCACTTGGTATTTCCTGATTGTGCTTCCCGTCTTGCTCGTGATTGTCATTTTTGGTAAGTGTCCTGTTTGATTTTGTCAGAGAAATTACTCCCTGAGGCGTCTCATCAGGCGGCAGACTCTCAGCTTTCAGGGGCTGTTTGCTTCAATTAAGTATTAATGGATGAAAACCCAAATCACAACTTTGGGAAAAGAATAATAGGTACATGTTGAGGGCTTTCTAGACATTTTTTTAGTATGCCTTATTAATACAAAGCTGGATTACGAAGATGGTATCTTGGTGCTCGAGAAAGATAGTCCACTTCACTTCCCCAATATTGTGAACTGTGATGATGAATGGCCCATTTACGTTATTCCTTCAGAATTGCTCTGGCATTCTGGACTTTCAAGATCTAGTCATCTCCTGCCTCTCACCTCACCAAACACCAGCCCCTGCTCCCACCCCAGCTCTGCGTTTCCTGGTGTGTTAGGAGTGTGGTCTGTACTGGGGCACCTGGGTAGCTCAGTCAGTTAAGTGTCCGACTCTTGATTTTGGCTCAGGTTATGATCTCACAGTTCTTGAGTTCGAGCCCCACGTCAGGCTCCACACTGATAGTATGGAGCCTGCTTGGTAGTCTTTCTCCCTCTCTCTCTCTGCCCCTCCCCGACTTGCTCTCTATATCTCTCTCAAAATAATAAAAATAAACTTAAATTTAGAAGTGTGATCCGCACCATCTATTCAAGTGTCCCAAGGCTCATCCAAGCACAGAGATCCATGGTGGTTGCTCACTGGCCGAATCTGGTTGCTCACTGGCTGCCAGTCTGTTTTGTTTGTTTAAAATTAGGTGAGTCACCTATGTTGTGCACCTGAAACCAATGTCCTTGTATGCCAGCTATACTTCAACTTAAAAAAAATAATTAAATGATTCACATTTTTTAAACACTCTTTTGAAAATTTGAAAGACCCGGATCATTGGGTCTCCACTTGTCCATAGCTCCAGTTGCTGGAGCTGAGTAGTAGCTACACCTTGAGAGAGGGCATGTGGTCACTGGGGTTTTGCCACAGTCTCGCCACCTGGGCCACGTGACTCATCTGTGTACCTGGTCCCTGTAGTCGTGTAGTGTGTGGCCTGGTTCTGAGCTGCTTTTCGTCTAAAATCTGTGTCCTCTTGTCCTTCTTAGAAACAGAACTCTCCTCCACCGACTAAGCACCGCGCACTCCTCGATTTAACACATGCATTGCCTTTCTGACACCTTCTGTTAATAGTTGCCAATGTTTCCTTCCATGCACTCCTTCATTCCTTCATCCATCCCTCCGTCCATTTACCTTGTGTTTACTGAGCACCCACTGCGCAAGTCTCTGGAGCTGGAGAGAATGAGTTAAGGCCTGGCCCTTTCTCCCAGCTGGTTCTGAGTCCAGTGAGGGAAGGACTGCCGTGTGTGATGAACTCACCCAATGGAATGAACTCATTTTGCAAAGACCCTATTTTGCCCTGTTGATCATTTCATCTATTTTCTTATGCTTCGCCCCCAGTTGTCTACCCCTATTATATATCGGGAATCCAGAATTGGGCTTGATATTTTAATGAGGTCCTGGCTGGTACTCGCTTCAAGTAAGAAGAATACTTCTAAACGCTGAGCTCTATTTGAGACTCCGCCAGTGTGAAGCAGCAGTAGATGGAACAGTCTCACCATAGAGTCACCTCCGCTTGGTGACTTACTAGAAACCTCTGATCTCTTCCTGTGCTCTTATGACTCATCACTCCTCTCAGTTTGTTGTAGAGATTATTTATGCTCTTGACAGTGAAGGGGGCTCAGTTTGACACATGGCTTTTGGCTTCATCAGCATCTGCAAAGCCCTATAAAACTCTCATCCCCTTCCACAGGGCTCCTGGGTGGCTCAGTTGGTTAAGTGTCCAACTTTGGCTCGGGTCATGATCTCACGGCTTGTGAGTTCGAGCCCCAAATTGGGCTCTGGGCGGACAGCTCAGAGCCTGGAGCCTGCTTCGGCTTCTGTGTCCCCCTCACTCTCTGTCCCTCCCCCACTCACGCTCTCTCTCTCTCTCTCAAAAATGAATGAACATTAAAAAATTTAAAAAAAAGAACTCTCATCTCCTTCTTACCGTGATTCCTGGGCACCATGTGTCACCAGCAGCTGGAACAGATGTGAAGTGTACAAATATCTTAGCTCATTGGTCACATCGTTAGTGAAAACACGAAGCACAGCCGGCTGAGGCCTGCCACCTGCAAAACCTCTCCACTGTGGCTTCCCCTGGAGGTGTCAGCCATGAAATTCCCACTGCTTGATGGACGTGGCTGCCTCACTCCCTGAGCCAGCGTTGCCCAAAATGTGGCCTGGGGAGCTGTAACCCCAAGTCACACTCCTAGAAAAAGGGGTTCCGTCGTCACATAAATTTGGAAATCACTGCGAGCCCCATCCTTATTTTGAAGATACACAATGCATGTTATGATTGACGCTGTTGACTTTGTGGAGAACTGTATTGAGTTTTGTTTCCTCCTGCATCACTCACATCGACTGGTAGTGGGATCCTTTTATCATGAAGTTTCTGTTAAAGGAGGAAACCCTTTCCAGAATAAGGGTGTAGCCGACAGTTGTTGGGTATTGTTTTTAAAATACAACTCCTGAATGCTTTCTGTGAGTTACTCCTTATAATCCTGTCAACGTCACAATGAGGCCGGCACTTTGACAGATGAGGCAGCCAGCCACAGAGATGCTAAGGAACTTACCAGAGGTCACACAGCTCATAATTGGTAGCGCAGGGACGTGGACTGAGCACCAAACCTGTTCAGTGCGCTTCTCTGCAGCACAGTTAGAAACCAGATGAAATGGGGAAAGAAGCAATGTCCCAGATCCAAGGGCCCGTTGCGGACGGCTCACCATGTCACCCAATTTGATCTATGCAAGTTTGACTTATATAGCTCACCGTCGATCTGTGGTTTCCTTCTACAATTGCAGCTCCACTTTATTTCTCCAGGGATGTTTAGAAACATTAAAAAAGAAAGAATGGAACAATATACGTGGCCTATGGCTGTAGGGAAACTTGGCTCGTTTCATTACTTTTCAGCCAGCTGGGATCTTTGGTTACAAGTGAAGGTTATTTGATTTAGTTTTTACTATTAAGGTGGGTAGTTTTGTGTTTTCCTGCTGCATTTTAGTATCTTCCTCCTCAGAGTGACCCCTTGCTGGGAATGTTCCTTTTGATAAATTCCATCTCTTAAATGCTATTCTTTCTCTCTCTTCCTGTCTCTCTTTCTAAAAGAAATGTCAAGGTTGGTTTGGTTTTCCTGTTTGTTTTTTGAGTTAACATGTCAATCTGATGCTGGATGTCTGTCTCCTCAGCGGCCGTGGGGGTGACCAGACACAAATCGAAGGAGCTGAGTCGCAAACAGAGCCAACAGTTGGAGCTCCTGGAGAGCGAGCTCCGGAAGGAGATACGTGACGGTAGGCTCCAAAATTTTATTTGTAGAAAAACAAGCCTTTTTTTTAATCATTTTTTTCTTTTTTACCCTTAAATGGAGCTGGCCACAGTAATGAGAACTGTTTGTATAATAGAAGACATCTGAACAGCAGGGTCTAGGCCTGGCTTTGTGTTTTATTTCAGCTCTGCTCTGCAGCCAACCAAGTAATTATCTATTGTTTCGTCTTTAATGAAAACCAAGGTCATACTCCGTGTTAGACAAAACAGCAGAAGATCTTATCCATTGTTTGTTGAGTTAAAATATTGCTCTTGGGATTCTGTTTTGCAGGCTTTGCTGAGCTGCAGATGGATAAATTGGATGTGGTTGATAGTTTTGGAACTGTTCCCTTCCTTGACTACAAACATTTTGCTCTGAGAACTTTCTTCCCCGAGGTAAAAGAGCATTGATCATATTCCTAAGGTTGAGTCTTGAATAATAATGAAGGTGCTTGTTGCTATTGTCAAAATGGGTGTTTGCTTCCAAGGCAGCTGTAGATAACGTGCTTGGTACAAAATAATGGCTCAAGTTTGAACAGAGCAGGGAGCAGGACAATTATTAATTGGATTGATGAGGATATAAAGCAGTGATGGGTCACTGACAATTATTCTTTGTCCAGTAACAAAAACCTAGGAGGGACAGAAGTTCAGAGTGATGATTTTTGCTTTATTTTATTACCCGTTTAGAGCTGAATTTGTAGCTGGGAAGCCCGCTAGTTTATTTAAAAATCAATAAATTGTGGGCTGGCCAATTTGTTGTGTTTATCTGCATGACTTCTATTGCAGCTACTAGATTATTCACTATTACTTCTCAATTGGAAATGAAAAGAACTATGGGCCGAGAGGGAGGGAAGTCGACATGTGTAGAATTTGAGTTGATAGCAGCCATTTTTAGCAATGTCGAGTTTTTATGGTTCTCTTCAACAGTTGTTCTTTGGCTGATCAGTCCGTATCATCCTCATTTAGTAGAAATAGTTGCACGAAATGATTGATTAATCCGTTCTGGGACTCCAAGGAGTAGTCTACTTTAACCCTTTGGGTTTTCAGTCTCACTCTGTTCTAACGCCTCCATCTTCTCCCCCACTCACTCAGCCTTCCTCCTTCACACTCCCAAGTCTTGGGTGAGGTACACTCATCTGCCTGCCATCACCTCCACATCCTGATGCCCCCACTTCACCACGTTGCCCTTTTTTGTCCAGAACTGGTGACCACAGAGGGGCCCAACCTCTGGAACATCAACACAGACGATCATGTTTAACTCTAGATTTCTAGACAAAGCCAGCCCAGAGCTTATATCACCTTACCAGAGCTTCTCATCTACATTTGGCCAGAAGCCTAGAGTTCAGAAGCTCAGACACATGCAGTAAGCAATTTCCAGTTTCTCTATAATTCTAGAAGCAGACACCATGATATGTGATGCTGTGTCTCAAGGTTGGGATACTTCCATAAAACACCCACCATATTTTGTTTTTGGTCCAAGCCTTACTATTGTAAATCAAGAAGGCTATAAATAAGACCTCAGTTTTTTGTGCTTGTACAATATATTTTTTAAACTTCTCCTCCAGGAGTACCAGGCACCCAGGCTTGCATTTGCCACCTCATCCATCCATTTCTATGGCAGAACACCACCTAGGGAGGGGGGTTCAATTCCCTGAATCAGGATGACTATGCAGGACATCACCAGTCCTATTCGCCAGCTATCTGAGATCCCCATTAAGAATTTAATAGCAATAAAATAACAGAGATTTCTACCATCAACACGAGGATTGTGTGGGCTTTTACAGTTAATGATTGCTCTTGAGTGCTGAAGGGAGTAAAACTGTGACCTGAAAAAGAAATTGCCCTGTCTTCTAAAGTCGGTAATCAAGAGCAAGATAAGTGATGAATGCAAAAGACACTGTTGCAAATTGACTGTTTTGGAGGGCGGGTGGGGAATCCCAGGAACAATGCTGTATTATTTTAGAAGAGAGATACAGCTGACCCTTGAACAACACGGGTTTGAAGTGCATGGGTCTACTGATACATGGATTTTTTTTTCAGTAAAACAGTACAATCTCATAAATGTATTTTCTCTTCCCTATGGTTTTCTTTTATAGCTTTTTTTTATTTTTTATTAAAACCTTCTTTTAAAAAAAAATTTTTTTTTTTAACATTTATTTATTTTTGAGACAGAGAGAGAGCATGAATGGGGGAGGGTCAGAGAGAGGGAGACACAGAATCCGAAACAGGCTCCAGGCTCTGAGCTGTCAGCACAGAGCCCGATGCGGGGCTTGAACTCACAGACCGTGAGATCATGACCTGAGCCGAAGTCGGACGCTTATCTGACTGAGCCACCCAGGCGCCCCTTTTTATACCTTTTTTTTTAAAGTTTATTTGAGAGAGCATGTGAACACACATGAGTAGAAGAGGGGCAGAGAGGTAGAATCCCAAGCAGGCTCCATGCTGTCAGCATGGAGCTCCACATAGGGCTTGATCTCACAAAGTGTGAGATCATGCCCTGAGCTGAAGTCAAGAGTCATACACTTAACCGACTGAGCCAACTAGGTGCCCCCCTTCCCTATGATTTTCTTAATATTTTCTTTTCTCTAGCTTATTTTATTATAAGAATATAGTTACAATACAAAAAAACATATAAACTGTGTTAATCAATGGGTTATGTTATTGGTAAGGCTTCTTGTCCACCAGAAGGGGTCCACCCCTTGTGGACTATTAGTATTTAGGTTTGGGGAAAAAGTCATATGCAGATTTTCGACTGTGCAGAGGATCAACGCCCCTAACCTCCTCATTGTTAAAGGGTCAACTGTAGTTGCAAGAAGCCAAACTGATTTAACTCAGGGTTATGTATAATCTTGAATGGCAGTTGGGAAAGACATGAGAGCCAAAGTCAGAAGGAGTCACTACAGGAGAGGACCCAGAAAAAACAAGGATAACTATCAGAACCCTATAAAGACCCAAGTTACAATTGAATTTATAATAAAAGATATAGAGAACCAGAAGACCATAGTCTTTGATCACAGTCTTTGAACCAGTTGAAATATATTCTAGGCTGCAGATAAGTCCTGTGTCAATTAGGCCCTTTACAGATCTATCCAGGAGCCACATCCTCTAGGCCTGGAGGTTGGGTGTTGGATGAAAAACGTGAGTGGTTAACACCTAACAGACAACAGTAGGCAAAACCACAGGAAATTGTTCACAGAGGCCAAGGTATTACCTGGTTCTGTGCCCTGCCCTTTGGTTTTGGGCTTTTTAAAGCCTTTGTTTTCGTTCTATTGACTGGTTTGTTTTGCTGAAAATAGGAGAAGAAATAAGAGTGAGCAGTGCACCCTACCTCCTAGAAGAGGGAAATTCAAATGAAGAGAGGAAGGAACCTTAGAATACAGGGAGCCATCATGGCATTTCCCTAGTTAAGGTCAGGAATCAATCTGTTTAAACTGTCCATATAAAGTTGGTTCAGCAGAAAAATGTTAGGAACTAGAAAATGCAAACCCAAGGTCTGATTTTTCTGCATATTACTAGAGGAGAGTATGACCAAAATAGTTTGAGGTCTTCTGCTTAGGCTAACAAATTTGAAACTATAAAGCAAAAATCCTCTGCAGAAGAAATTTACTTTAATGAGGTATAAAAATAGCCTAAAGTTTCAAATATTACCCCTAAAAAAGAGGAAGAGAAAAACCTGAATATTCAAGTTTATATTTTCATTCTGTTGACTCATTTGAAGTGTTACTCGGCATGCTTTTAAAATTTAATTATTTAGGGGTGCCTGGGTGGCGCAGTCGGTTAAGCGTCCGACTTCAGCCAGGTCACGATCTCGCGGTCCGTGAGTTCGAGCCCCGTGTCAGGCTCTGGGCTGATGGCTCAGAGCCTGGAGCCTGTTTCCGATTCTGTGTCTCCCTCTCTCTCTGCCCCTCCCCCGTTCATGCTCTGTCTCTCTCTGTCCCAAAAATAAATAAACGTTGAAAAAAAAAAAATTAAAAAAAAAATAAAATTTAATCATTTAATTCCAATCAGATTTGTGACACATTAAAAAAGGAAACTCAAATTTAAAATTTCACATCCAGGAGCCACACAGCATAGCACACAAAAATAATTGTAGAAACCAGCAGAACAGTAGCCTTGCGGTCTAGTTTGCCATAAATTAGTGACAAAAATAATAAAAACAGCTGCCATAGAGAACTTACCGTGCACCCATTCGTTTTGTTTTCACCCTAAGCCTAGGAGGTGGGAATCAGGAGTGTCCCCATTTTGCAGATGAGGAAAGTCAGACACAGAGAAGTTACATAACTTGCCCAAAGTCAAGTGACCAGTAGGTGAAAAAACCAGGACAGGAGCCCAAGTAATTTGGCTCCACATCCTAGCTTTTAACCACCCCACTCAAGCCCTCTCCAGTAACATTGTACATTGAGACAGTAGATACGACTAAGCTGAGACTTGTAAAAACTTACCGAGACGACTCCATATTTATCCTTAGAAGGTAAATTGCTTGAGGAGTGGTCTGCACGTTTGCACAATCTTCTTTACCACTTCTTTCACTTTCGAGTCAGTTCTTTTAAAGTGTGAGATGCCTTCCTCTACCAAAAATGGGACTGATGCAATAATCATTCTTCGTCTTAGAGGCTTCCAGAATCCACTGGTGCTTCTGGAGAGCTCAATAATTATTTATTATGTATCAGAGGATGTACAATGAACCTAAGCCCAGAGGCTCTTCAGATTAGCAACAAGTGTCTCTATTAAAACGGACTTGGGTATTATAGCAAAAATACACTATTCATTTCCTTTGGATGTTATGAATAATAAAAGTGTCTCCTTCCTCTCAGTCAGGTGGCTTCACACACATCTTCACTGAAGATATGCATGTAAGTCTATAAGTTTTCATCTTTAGCCCATGATTGCCTTTCATCATGTCCTCTTCCTCCTCCTCATCCCCATTATTGAATTTTTGTGAGTTTTTTGGAATCATGAATTCAATATTAAATAACCTATCATTTTGGGAAACCCATTGTGGATCTATCTTCTAACTTTAATAAGTTTATATATTTATATCCTATCATATCATATCATATCATATCATATCATATCATATCATATCATATATCCATTTGTTTTTTCCAGAACAGAGATGCCAATGATAAGAATGAAAGTCTCACAGCCTTGGATGCCCTCATTTGTAACAAAAGTTTCCTTGTTACTGTCATCCACACCCTTGAAAAACAGAAGAACTTTTCAGTGAAGGACAGGTATTGGTCAATTTATTTATATTTTGAAAGTCATTAAGTAGGGGAAATAAAAACTCTTGAGCCCCTTGTTTTATTTCCAAACCACAACCTGAACTCGGTATCTTGAAAATGTGGATTTACCTATAGAGGCTGTCTGATCGAAGGGTCATGAAGCCCTGATTGCTCCATTTCAGATATCACACAACCTCAACGCAAATTCTGTTTTGAAAGACACACACACACATATACTCCTCCCACCAAAACAAACAAACAAAAACCCTGAAAAACCCAACACCAAGAAAAAAACATGAGTCCTGAATCAAAAAAGCAGAAGTGTTATTTTCTGTTTCTAAAAACACCTGAAAATTTGGGAAAGACGTTCATTTCTTGTTTACCACTTTAATTTAAAAGTTTAAGTGCTAGAAACACATAAGAAGTCCTGGAATTAACATTGGTGCCTGGTTTTTATGGATTGAGGACAAAGGTGGTTGACCTAAGACATTATAAGTGCCCACAGGACAGCACCCCATCGCCCTTTGGCTTCTCTAGAAGACACCATCAGTATCAAGCCCAGCCACAGCTAATAGTTAACCTCATTAACCAAGGCCCTTTTTTTATGTGCTTCTTTATCATCTGTATACCTTCTTTTTTTTCTTTCAATTTTATTGAGATGTAATTGACATACAGCACTGTATAAGTTTAAGCTGTGCAGCATAATGATCTGACTTACATGTATTGCAAAATGATAACCACAATTAAGTTTAGTTCGGATCCATCATCTCGTACAGATACAAAAAAAGTGGGGGCAGATGAACTTTTAGGATTTACTCTCTTAGAACTTTCAAACATACCATACAGCAGAGTAGCTGTAGTCATCGCGTTGTACGTGACATCCCTAAGCATTTACTTCTCTTATAACTGGAACTTTAGACCTTTTGTCCACCTCCCTCCAATTGCCCCTTTGTCCCCCACCTCTGGTAACCACAAATCTTTTTCCGTGAGCTTGGTTCTTTTTCTTTCTTTTTTTTAGATTCCACATGTAAGTGAAGTCACATAGTATTTGTCTTTGATTTTTTCATTGAGCGTAATGCCCTCAAGGTCCATCCATGTTTTCACAATGGCAAGATTTCATTCTCTGGTATGGCTGAACTGTATTCGGGGTTGGGGGCGGGGGGTGTTTGTGTGTGTGTGTGTGTGTGTGTGTGGTACGCAAATATACCACATTTTCTTTATCCATTCATGTGCTGATGGACAGTTGTTTCAACGTCTTGAGTATTGTAACCAGAGCTCTGTTTTTAAACAGGTGTCTGTTTGCCTCCTTCCTGACCATTGCCCTGCAAACCAAGCTGGTCTACCTAACCAGCATCCTGGAGGTGCTGACCAGGGACTTGATGGAACAGTCTAGTAACATGCAGCCTAAACTCATGCTGAGACGCACAGAGTCTGTGGTTGAAAAACTCCTCACAAACTGGATGTCGGTCTGCCTTTCTGGTTTTCTGCGGGTAAGTGTCCTATCCCTTGGCCGGTCAGAGGTAAGACAATAGGTGGTTATTTTTAGCAGATGCTAATGCCTTTGCCAGGGTAAGTCCTGAACACTCCATGGTGTCAGCATTTAACCTCTTTGAGACTTGGTCCTTGGCAGGAGCAAGTGGAAGGGAAAACAAGAATTGTTTTTGCTGTAATCTATGTAAATGTGACTCATTTAGAATTTCCTCAGGTAAAACTTTTTTTTTCTCTTTGAAACAATTTCACTGTGGTAAAAACAATTAACATGAGACCTATCCTCTTACCAGATTTTTAAGTGTGTAAAACAGCGTTGTTATCAGTAGGCACGGTGTCGTGCCACAGATTCCTAGAACTTATTTGTCTCGTGTAACTGCAATTTTATACCCATTGGCTTTGGGTATAAATCACACCGGTAATTAACAACCAGGGCCCAGGCGGTCTAGTTAAGAGAAGAGACTGAGGGGACAGAATATTTCAAATGCTGAAGCGAGCACGTGACTCGAAGGGCCTCTGAAGCATCTTGGAAATACCCGTTTACCTACTAATACAGGAAGCTAATTACACTCCATTCTAACCAGTCCTTCCACACGATTCTGTTTGTTTAGCAAGTCTCCAAAGAGCCGCCCGCCCCCTGAGTTCCAGTTGGAGTTGCTGTCTGAATGTGGTTGTAGCCTGATTGAGTCTTAACATCCTTTTGAATGCAAAGTTTGTGCAGACTCCAGTGGGTCAGAGCATGGGTCCTGGAGCCCGCCTCCCGGTCTGCATCTGGACTCCCGTCACTTGCTAGACGAGCCTTCTGGACCTGTCTCGGCCTTGATTTTATAACCTATAGAATTGGAGGAAGAGTAGTTTAGGGCTGTTCTGAAGCCTGGATGAGAAAATGCATGTAATTGCTTGTCACCAAGTAAGCACTCCATAAATGTTGGCTGTTATTATAAAATATTAATAGGAAAAGAAGAGTGTTCTGTTGAACCCAATCTTCGTTCAGCCCTCTGAGGCCCCTGTACAGAAGATTCTTAACCTTCTTTAATTTCACCAGCCATCCAGATTCCAGCAAAACTGCATAATTGTGTATTTGTAGCTAGTTCCAAAATCTAATTAAACTTTGAATAAGATACACTGTTATGCCACAGGTTTTAACAGTGCTACTTAAGTTTAGATCCAAAAGCAGCACTTTAAATAGACTGTGCTTAGTTTAATGTTTAATGCAATCTTACAAGTAGATGCACAACGTTTTTTTCTTGTTTTTTTTTCTTTTTTTAACCGATGCCTTCCTCTCCCAAGGCGCTACCCATTTATTAAGATTAATGAAATCTGCCGCCTTTTCTGTTTACTTGGTATAAATCATCATACGCTTTGGGGAGGTGTTGAGCAGTTACTTCTGGGGTGAATGTTTTTGCTTTCGACCATCTTAGCCTCAGCCACAACCACATCTAGACAGAGGCGACTGGCCCCACACCTGGGTCCTGGGTCTTAGTCTTAAAAGGCAGGCTTCTGCCCCACCACTGAATCACAAGCCCTGGGGGTGGTTTCCAAGCTTCTCCAAGTCATTGCATGCGCCTTACATTTGAGAATCCTGCGGTAATAGAAAGAGCCCTGGAGTGGGAGTCTTGGGTAGAAGCAGCAGGTTTCATGTCAGCCCCAGTTAGCTGTGCGTCTCTGGGAATGGTACGTCTCACCTGAGCAACTGTTTTCTGTCCACTCTGTAGGGGGGCATGGTCACTGGTTTTAAGTTTCTTTCCAGCCCTCTCTCCTGGGATCTGAGCCCTCAAGTGCCGGTTGGAGCCTTGTTTTTGCTCCCCTGGGGCCTTAAAGAGGTGAGGGTGTTCCAAAAATCTGGGCGCTAAGCCCAAACGGCTCCCTTGAGCAGAGGATTCTGGGTCAAGAATTTGCAGTGCTGATTCAAGAGTATGTTGAGCACTTGAGACAGTGAGGGCCATGCGCGGACCAGGAGGAAGTGGCAGTGAGCTAGTCAGGCTTTCATTCTCAGTGGAATAATTCCCTGTGCTGCAGAGGGTCTGACGTCCCACATCAGAAGCCCAAGGGGGTGGGGGACTCTGACAGCCTTGGTCCTTCCACCCTGCCCCACACCCTGTTGCCCGGATGCCACTGGCTCTGTGACCCCCCGGTGACTTCCTCCTCTCCACTTCCAGGGCTCCGTGAGGCAAGTATTCCTAATAACGGCCATTTATTGGGTGTGCCAGACATCATGCTAAGAGTTTTGCTTTCTTTTTCTCATGGCATCCTCTCATTTAACCCTGTGAGAGGAGTATCTTGATGACCATTTGCACATGAGGGCATTGGGGCACACAGAATGGACGTGGCTCTCCTCGGACCCCACAGCTGGTTTTGGGAAAGCACCGGGGTTTGAGAGCTCTTCGCCACCCCACTTACTGCTTCCCCAGTGAGGCGGGTACCGCAGGCTTACGGGAGGATTTAAGGATAGAAGGAGATCACCGGCATGAAAGCCTCTGGCTCAGCCAGGGCCAGAGTCTGGTCTCACAAAGAAAAGGAAGGTGAAGGGGCCGAGCTTGGTTCCCATCACAGGAGTGGTTCCGGAAGGTGCACTCCCCCACAGCCGGCTTTAACCCTGGGGAGCTGTGTTCTCTGGTCCCATAAGACACCTAAGCCCCCAGCAATTGTGACTAACTTAGAACTTGTGTCCGATAGTGACGGAGAGGGGGCGCCTGGGTGGCTCCGTTGGTTAAGCGTCCAACTCTTGATTTCAGCTCAGGTCACTGTCTCGCGGTCCGTAGGATCGAGCCCCATGACGAGCTCTGCGCTGACAGTACGGAGTCTGCTTGGAATTCTGTCTCTGCCCCTCCCCCACTCTCTCTCCCTCCCTCCCTCTCTCTCAAAATAAATGCATTTTTAAGGTGATTTTATTAAAGCACGGGGATGGGACCCATGGGCAGGAAAAGCTGCCAATAAACACACATTTTTAAAAAATAGTGCCAGACCTCATAGTTTTCTAAGCCAGATACACGTCAGAATCCCCTGGGAAGGTGTTAAAACCACAGAGGCCCAGGCCTCACCTCCGGAAATTCTGGATCTGTAGGCCTACAGTAGGGTCCGGGCATCTGAGTTTTTTACATGAGCCCCAAGGAATTCTGGTGACGATTACCCAGGTTTAGAACCCTGGGTGTGGATAACAGTGTAAGGCAAAATATTACTTACCTCCATCTAGCTGCACTCTGGAGAATTCTGGGGAACTCCTGACTCCAAAGCCATGGAGTCCATAGCTGCCCTCCCACCCCGCTCCAGCCCAGCTGAGCCCACCTGACCCCTAACCGCAGCCTCTGTGGGCACATCCAGCCCACAAGGCTCGTAAGGACACTCACCCCTGTCTCTGATGTGTGCTGGAGGGAAAAAGAGAAGTGAAAGTTCTAAGTTTGCAGCCAGGACATTACCCAAGGGGACCGAGGGAAAGAGAAGAGAGCAGCGTTGTTGCGAACCATGAATGAGATAAAGGAAGTTTCCCAGAAGAATTTAAATGTCAGGTGCTAGTCCCCGCTCTCTCCCCACCTGGGAAAGTTTTGAACATTCCAACTGTGTCCTCCACTGAGGAAGAGACTCCAGGACATGTCAGCAGGGAAGAGAAGCATGATAAAGGGAAGCCAGTGGAATGGAGGGTGGCAGAAGGGGACCAAAGGAAACCCTGGGACTGGGGAGGGCACATGTTTTTGCAGGGAGTATAAAGCATGGGATGGGCAGGCTGGGGGAGGGGGTGGCGGGGTGAGATCCCAAGAATCTTGAAAGAGGTCTTTGTTTACCTGTTCAGGGGAGAGCAGGGGAGAGACCCAGTGGAATTTCTCCTTTTCAAGCCGGGCTGTGCCACTGAACGGTAAACGGGTGCTTCAAGCCTTAGCCACTTGGCTGGTATCCTCATCACCAAGGCCGTTTGACTTCCAGGTTCCTGGCTCTTCCTCTCCCACGTTTGGTTACTGTCTGTTGATTGTAGACCTTGATTGTTTAGCAAATATGCTACTGAGGACCGGGGCTGCATGCTCTGTGAGGCTGAAATGGAAGAACACACCAGCCTCCCACTTGAGCCGCTCAGAGCCCACGCAAGCACAGTGTGGCTGCAAAGTGGAGGCATTTCAGTCCCCCTGAGGGTGGCAGGTAGCCCCTGGTGTAGGCACAGATGCACACGGCAGAAGTTGGGAGCAAGAAGCAATCGGGATGGGCTGAATTTGGGAGGAAGGCCTTAGAGCTATGGTGTCGGCTCTGGCCCAGGGAAGGGAGTTAGGGTACACGAGTGGCCCCACACCAGCAAAGGCAAAGGGTGCCGGTACATGTCCCACCCGCAGCTCTGCAAACCACAGGGTGCTGGCCGGCACCAGGGGAGAAGGGAGGAAGGCTACCGATTGTGATAACTGAAGGCCACTTCCTTCATGAGAAGCTCTTAACACCAAAAAGTACCCTCTTGGCAAACGTACAAAATGTTCTGACATTTATTCTGGTTACCAGAGCTAATTATCGTGTGTGCGTTCTGATGCCGTTTATTTTTGGTTTGCTCAGAAGGGCGATTCAGTAAGAATGTAAACAAAGCTTAGGCCTCTGTATCTCCTATAGGCATTAGCCAATATGAGCATCCGTCTGCCATATAGAAGCTTAAACGTCATAGAACCATCCTCTGAGAACTTCGTGCTGCTGTTGACTGTAAATTCTGGGTGTGTGTGTGTGTGTGTGTGGGTGTGTGTGTGTCTGTGCCTGCATGTGTGGGGAGAGGAGGCGCTTCCTGAGTTTTGCACCCAATCCTGACTGAAGCAGTGTGTATTTTCTTGGGAGTCTCGTGTGGATTGTTAGAAAACACCGCCTCCTGTCTCCTGTCGCACTGCCATAAACTGAAACTTTAACTCTTTGGAAGAAAGTACAGTGGGTTCTGCAGACCGCTAACTGTGGCCTTTGTGTCTCTTCCCAGGAGACGGTTGGAGAGCCATTCTATTTGCTGGTAACGACCTTGAACCAGAAAATAAACAAGGGTCCCGTGGATGTGATCACTTGCAAAGCCCTGTACACCCTCAACGAAGACTGGCTGCTGTGGCAGGTTCCAGAATTCAGTACTGTGGTATGTTGGTGGTGAAGCCTTCCTTCCAGACTCCGAAAGAAGCCTGGCTGGGAGTTGGATGGTGGGGTGGGGGGTAGGGAGGGGGTGGGGTCACTTAAAATGAAGCAGTATCATTCCTACTGTGGGAGGCCTCAGACGATGAGTTAATTAAAAACAGTAGTTGATAAACTATTAACACGTGTTCACATAATAGATTTTAATTACTGGGATGGGGGTGGGGAGACTTGTAATGATGCCTGGGGTGCTCATCAATTTCCAAAGATTTTAATATCAGGATAGCTTATAGCTTTCAGCGTCGTCAAAGGAAATGCAAAGTGCTCCCTATTCAGCACTTATAATTGCAATCAGAATTTCTCAAACGGCTCTGCTCTGGAAGACAATGTGTGAAGATGTATTTCAACCAAATTGAGGCCGTCTTATTTTAGAACGATAACACAAGACAAATTCCACTGTGTTCCCCATGCAACATGACACCCTTACTTTATTTTCATGGATTAGTTACAAATGTTTGGTGTCATGCACTTAATGTTCTGTGATCTCATAGATATTTTTAGAGGAACGCTGTAAATCACTCCAGGAAGATGACTGCCTGGCTGCTGGATGGTTTCACCCAGTGGAGAACTTCCTTTTCGCCCATCCCTACCCCCCACCACCCTCTTCTCTTCCCTTCCTAAAGGAAGAGAGACCGATTTCCTGCGCGCTCACAGATTTTAGAGAAAGGGCCAAGCCCGGCAAATACCTCCGAAATTACTTAGGCATTTTCTGCTCGTGGAGACTGGGGAAAGAGATCGCCGTCATTTGGTTTTGATCTTCAGCTTCATGGAGACTCTGGGCTTCTTCACAATCTCGTTAGTGGAGGAGGAGGAGAAAATGATGGTGGGGTTTTGGTATTACTCAGTCAGGGGGCTGAGTCTCCTGTGGCTTAGCTCTGGACGGTGAGAACCGTGGTATCATCCTGGAAGAATTCCTTCCCTAATTGGAGAAGGCACCACGTCGCTGTGGGCTGTGTTATGGTTACATCCTCTGGTGGGAGAATAGTCCACAGATCGGCTGCTTCGAGTTCTAGGTCACTGCCCCATGCAGCTTACCCTGCCCTGAAGGCACCACGCCCGACTGCCATCCACAAGGCAGGAGGCTTGAGCAGAAAGTCAACATTTCTCAGTGTTCTGATTTCTGTTACTACAACTGTCTGTAGCCAAGAGGCGAGGGGCAGTGGCTCTCAGATTTTAACATGCATCAGAATCCACTAGAGAGTTCATCAAGCACCAGTTGCAAGGCAGCACCCCAGAGTTTCTAATTCAGTAGGTCTGCGGAGGGCCTGGGATTTTGCATTTTTATTTTTTTATTTATTTTTTTTTTTTAATTTTTTTTAAATTTTTTTTTTTCAACGTTTATTTATTTTTGGGACAGAGAGAGACAGAGCATGAATGGGGGAGGGGTAGAGAGAGAGGGAGACATAGAATCGGAAACAGGCTCCAGGCTCTGAGCCATCAGCCCAGAGCCTGACGCGGGGCTCGAACTCACAGACCGCGAGATCGTGACCTGGCTGAAGCCGGACGCTTAACCGACTGCGCCACCCAGGCGCCCCGGATTTTGCATTTTTAAAGCGCTCCCTGCAGAAGCAGCTGGTCCCGGACCCCCCAGGAGAACTGCTGATATAGTGATGAAGAGGCACACGCTGTATCCTGCCTCTGCCCCTGCGTGACTCGGGGCAAGTTTCCAAAGCTCCCTATGCCTCAGTCTCCTCAGTGGAGATGACAATCATGGCGCCTGCCTGTTTCATGGGGTGTCGCAAGGGTGCAGAGTCAGTGTTCTGTAAAGCACTTAGGACACGGACTGCTGTGTGCGGGCCGTGTAAATCTGTATTAAATTTAATTCACCCCTCCCCCGGCACTTGTTACAAACGCAGATCCAGATAGGCCGATGCCTGGGCCTCCCCTCAGGACTGATTAAACCAGAACTGCTGGAGACAAAGCCCAGGCACGGATAGACTTTTTTTTTCAACACTCCAGATAATTCTAATGTACATCCTGCTCAGAGAGGGCAGGGTGTTTTGGAGAACAAAAACTTTGTTTGCATCAGGGCCTGTCGACACCTTCCCCTATGACTGTTTGAAGACGGACCCAGGGCCTCGGTCCTACCCCCAGGGATGTTCATGCTTTCACTTTGAAACATTTTCCGGGCCCCACGGATTCCCAAAGAGAAAGGATTCCCAAAGAGAACTATCTGTGAGCGTGTATAGGTTGGGGGAAATGTAGCACTGATTTAGTTTCATGAAAGCATGAACCCCCAGCAGGAAGGAGAGGGAAGGAGAGGACCCAGCTGGGAGTGGGGAAGGAGTCAAATGCCCGAAGCAACTTTGGAGGTTTGAGTCCTTTCTAATGTTTTACATGGAAACACTTTTTCCGCCTTTCATTTTGAAACGTTATTTATTTCACAGTCAATTAAGACCATGTGTTTCGGATTTGTTAACTCTCAACTCTTCATCCAAATGTTTCTTGATGTTGAAGGGATTCATGTTGATTCTTGGATTCGCTTTTCCTTTATAGCCCCTGGGGAGAAGGCTAATGGGAAATTATGAATTTAGAAATCCAGATAGATCTTTCTTTTCAAAGGCAGATTTGCCAGTAGATAGGAACTGGAAAAGGGGCAGACCGCTCATTTCCAGGGGCCTTGCCTTTAAAAATGATTTTTACTCCCTTGTATTGTACCTGCCCCAACCTGTTTCATGGTGGACGGTTATATTAGAAGCTCCGGAGAAGGCACATGATCTGGGCTATGCTTGTGTGACAAAATGTTGGCAGAAGGTCAATATAAAAATTTAAGGTTTTTCATTTCCTTTCAGGCAAGTTCCCCCAGCCTTAACCATCGTATTATAATTTTCTTCCTTCCTCCCTCTTCCCTCCCTCTCCTCCCTCTCCTCCCTCTCTTTCTTTCTTACCTCCCTCCTGACTGCCCCCCCACCCCGTCATGTACACCCAGTGGTTTGAGATCTTGATTTTCTAAATTTGCCTGAGGTGGTTTATGTAATTGAAAACCAGGGTATGCTGAACAAACTCGATTCTGTGTGTGTGTGTGTGTGTGTGTGTGTGTGTGTGTGTGTGTGTAAATTCTTTCAAGGAAAGAAAAGTCAGAGAAAAAAACAAGAGCAGCCACACGAGCAACTTGAAATGACAGAGCCTGGTGCCACGACAGGGACACATTTAAAAGGGGCCCCCCAAACTCCCGTTTGGCTAAGTGCTCAGAAACACAGCACCTCATGTAACAACCCGAGAGCTAGGTTTCACACCTCTAAGATTAGGATGTGTTCTCCCTGAGGTCTGGGGTGTTTTCTAGAACACAAAGACATCCTGCCAATTTCTCATATGTGAAATCATTCTACTAACAAATGGGCTCTGAGAGGCAGTTCTTTGCTCACTGCAAAAATTCCTCTGTCTTTGCTCAAAAAGCCCCATACGGCCATACTTACTCAGGTATCACGGGAAACATCCTTCTCTATATAGGCATTGCAGGCTGGCGTTCGATGAAGAGGCTGCCCCACACACAGTCACCCCCGTGAATGCCAGCATCGAGCCGGGTTTGCGCACATGCAAACTTCCTCTAATATCAGGGGATTCAGGTTTGACAGCTGGAAGAGGAATAAGCTTATTGCTCCGTGGTCCTTCCCCCTTTACAACATTTTAGGCGTGTTCAATTTGCTGCTGGAGAACCTCAGGCCCACCCTGAGATTGTGGGCTGTGCTGTGTCCGTGTCGAGAGAATGATTTCAGAGCAGATCCCCTGAAACTTTGGGAGCGCGAAGGAAGGCATGAAGATTTCAGTTCTAGGAAAGTGCACCACATGGGAGAAAGGACATTTGCTTCACTTTCAAGAGGAGATGAGAAAACCCAATAACTCGTAGCAAAGTGTGCTGAATTAGCAGGAGAAGGTTGACTTGTAATCAAAGTTAAGCGAGAAATGGTTTTTTGAACTCTTAAACCCAGGAAATGAGCCTGCCAATCTGCTGTATCTGAGAGATAGCATCTTGGCACCCTGGGAAACAGTGCTCCGACAAACATATTATTGCCCTCGTTCTCATATCTATGAGAACGTCTTTAAGATTATTAGAAATTCTTAGAAAAAGTACAGATACATGTCTATAGAAATCTTAATGCCTCCGCTACGGTCTATTGAAGACTTATGCCAGCCTGCACCAGTCTGCCTTTTTGAACCCAGTAGTTACCATTTTGGGGACAGTCATGTTTAATAAAATATCTCATATGTAACAGAGTCCCGGCTATCTCTAGTGAGAGCTTCACGTCTACATGCTTCCTTTAACACGTTGGCTCTCCCCACCACTCCCTAACTCCTTGTGTTCCATTAGTTTGTCCTTTCAGAAGATCCATTATCCCCATAATTAAACAACCCACTGTCCCGATTAAGTCATTCTGTGTTACTTCAATTACATCCCATTGTTCATTAAATCCTGATGTTTGCACTTCAGCAATCTTGTTTTTAATACTCCTAGCATTTGTGGAGAAACAGTGAAGTTAATTAACAATTCTTGGGCTTTTTTTTTTTTCCCCTTTTGCTCTCTACCATAGTGCAAATCATTTCCATTATGACTTGCAATAATACCGAAACCATTACTAACTTCGTAGTTACTGTTCTGAGCTTCCTGATCAAAGAAGTGAAACCATTTTTTATAATCATTTTAGGTAAGTCATTCCCCAGTTGATGGCAAGAAGTGGAAAATGAAAAACAAGCGTTAAATGAGTGCTTTAAATGACTTCCCTCTTCACACCCTTTCTTCTCACACCCATAATCTTGGGATTAGAAAATAATTTAGTTACCTAAATACAAAAGTATTTAATTTTCTTCTTTATGGCTCAAATGTGACTCTGCGTTGTTAAGGATCCTTATTTATACTTGTACTCCTCAGGGAACGGTCACGTTTATAGCAAATCATGGTGAAGATAAAAGGCATTTTTTTCAGTATGTCTTTTTTTGACATCGGCAAAG